CCCTACAGTAATCAGAGGCTAACTGAACGGTAGGCTGCTGAGTGTTCCCAAGACCAATTTTAGAGAGGAAGTTTCCTATGAACTAGTGCCCTGATTAGCACTAAAAGGGAAACATGCCTGTATCAAACCACTTGCTGTTTTCCACTCTTCGCCTGCATAATATAAATCAACAGCCTTCACATCACCGGAGTCCCCCATGGGGGAAGAGGACCGGCTTCTTCTCTCTTGTTCCTTATTCTTCACAGAAGATCCCCGACTTGAAGGCATAATCCTCTGTCTGTGAGCTCGTGGCAACCAATTAGAACGGCTCAGGGAGGGCTTCCAGCGCACAGGAAATGGGACGGGAGGCTCTCTTAAAACAAAGCCCCTATTTGTTATGCAAAAAAGCATTGAAGAAGAGCGCAGGAGGTTGTCGCAGTCCTCTGGGCTAAAAAGGGGTGGCCCCCCATGTCCATCCTTGAACGGTGAGTTGCAAAGGGAGCTCTCCTGCAGGCCTCAGATCTGATATCCAGCCTCCAGCCGACCAGGTCACAGGGGACAGTCATCCGCCACAGACCGCAATTTTTCAGCCGTGCCGACACAACAGTTTTGCACAGATATAGCTGAGGGTGGCGGCAATGCAGATGGACTCCACGCACGGTTTACACTACAGGGCACGCTGGGGAGTGACACCTGCAAGGAAAGCCCCCAGACCAGACCACGCGCTAGGCTGCCCATGCCAGGATAAGGCATCCCTGGTTAGCACTGGTTGAGCCTCACTCGACTATACCATGCATTAGATGAACGGCCTGCCGGATTCTCAACCCCACCCTGAAGTCAACCCAAATGCAAACCCTGCTCGAGTCCCACTGCTTATGGCTGGCATCGCCTGCTGGGTAGCACTACCCGTTTCTGATGCACCAGTCATAATTAGTTGTGAATGCAGAACCATCAGCAATGGTCTTCTAATGCCAGCAGCTAAATTTCCAACAGGCGCGAGGACCTGCACCCCGCAGAGGAATTCCAAGAGTGACTTCAAGCACTGCCTTTGTGCACCATGGCACGAAGAACTGTTGCGTTTGCTTTACTGCAAGACAAGCAGCAGGATTCGCATGTAAAGCGAGCCATGCCACAAAGACAGGGCATCGGTTAATCCTTGGAGTCTCAGGCAGCGGCAGAGAAAGCGGTGTTTGCTCAAGCGCATTCAATTAAACTGACAGAATTCCAGGTAACCACCGACTACATCGAGAGCTGTATTTGTTATGGGCATTGCTGTTTAACTTTCATCACCGGAGGGCTGAGCAAACACCCTGCTGCTTGCCATGACTCTGTGCAGTCCCTATCGAGGCAAAAGCATGCCAAGCCGCTGATCCATCGACCAGCCAACCTGTCTCCCCCTTGCCCCGGACAGACACACGAATGCAACAGCTCATGCCACGATGAGCACCCATCTCCGAGCTCGGAAAGCAGCACGCTGACGGCTGTCCTCTTGACAACCTTCCTAGGAAACCCCCGAGGATTCAGAACCATTAAATCAGACTCCTACTTAGACATGGACCATTGATGCTACCAGCTCGGGTGTAAGCCAGGGCGCGTGAGGAAAGGCTGGAGACAAAGATTACAGGAACGCTCTGCAAGTCGTAAGACTGTAATTGCGAACGGTCCCCAAAGAGAAGGGAAACAGTTCCTGAGCTTTTCCATACCCTCAGGAAAGCTTCAGAAGATTAAGCATGTTGTTACAACCCTGCAAGAGTGACTCAATCCTCATGATAGCCTTTAATAAGAGCCACTCCATTTGTCTGGACCAAGTGTTTACCACATGCCGTTTCGATCTCGGACTACCCTGCCTGCAACCGTGTTGTCATCAAACAGGGCATCTCCCTTCTGGTTTCAGCTCTGCTCTCACCGCCCAGGCTGTTCGAGGCACTAGGGTTACCCCGAGGCACCCCTTCCTTTTTCCTGTCTGCTTGGGCGGACAGGAAAAAGGCCTGTCACCTGACCTGGCAGGCTTTGCCAGGCCAGGTCTTTGCCAGGCCTGTCACCTGGCCTGGCAAAGACCAAGCCAGGTGACAGCGCCTGAACGGGACAAGCTCTGGCCCGACTGTGGTGTGGAAAGGAACTGGGACTTGCACAAGCGCCAGGCTGCAATTGGCAAGGTCAGCAATTTCCTCTCGCATCTGCTAATGCATTGTCAGTAAGAGAATTGCAACTCAATGAGGAATGCGGGGAAAGGAAGTGGTGTGTTTTTAAAAAAAGTCAAAATGGGCTTGGGGAAAAACGGTCGAGTCCAGTGATAGCTCGGTCCTCTCCTGGAGCAGAGGAAGCCTGACTTCCTTGGTCTCTTTGGTTGCTTTTACTTATCAGCAATTGCATTTTCCAGGAGTTTGCAAAGCAAAGGAGCTTCATGCAGAGGAGCCCTGTTTTCAGGGGAACAGGGGTTGGGCAGCCCCATGGCAAGGGGATGCTTGAAGAGGTGCCACGCTGCAAGTGGTTCAATATTTACCACGCTGACATTTAAGTCTATAAGGGAACTGCCCCATCGTAATACCGCTCTAAAACGCAAGGAGCAGTCACTTGTATGACAGGCATTGCAAGCAAGCTGGGAGCTGCGCGTGCACCTGCAGTTGCCGGCAAAAGGGAAACACTGTTATGGGCAGAGCCCACAAGGAACAATTCACATCCTGCGGCTCCTCCCCTACATGATTTACACTCACGGCTGTGGTGCAGCTCCAAAAGCTCCCGCTGCTTGTCATACAGCAATGGGGAATACAATGGATTGCAAAGAGAAAAGATTAAAGGCGTGGCTGAAGGTAGCTTGGCTTTGGTCATTTGTAAGGGTCTTTAAAGCCATCATAAAAGCAGGGAGCTCCCATCAGCTGGAAGGTCGCCACAGCTGCAAGTTATAGGATTTCTTCTTGCACAGGGGTTTTGCTGTCTCAGGAAAGCAGTAAGGGGGGAAACTATTATATATACCTACATTTAACTCTAACCACATCCACAGTGAAACAAAGCACAGGCACTTGCCTGGGGAATGAACAAAGAATTGAAGCCTTTTGGACACTTCCAACCTTGCTTCTTGAATGCCCTATAAGGGCCTGTCTGCACAAAGCTTTGCTCCACTGATCTCTGGAGCAGATGTAAGCAGCTGTACCTGAGATAACAGCACTTTCAACAAGATGAAGCTTTTCAGCCTGTGTCCGTGGGTGCTTGTTAAAAGTGCTATTACCTGACATACAAGATGAAGCTTTTTAGCCTGTGCCTCTTAAAGATCAGAGGGAATCCAGGTTGCAAGCAGCTGGAAGAGTATCCACACATAGCACGGCACCAGTTCAAAGCCACTCAGTGGGGTTTGCATGCCAACAAGACCCACATTTTCATGCAAGGGTTAAAGCAGAAAGCTGTTCCCACAGCACAGCAGGAAGGAAGTGATTCTTGAGCCACTCTCACCCAGTGAGAAAACTTCTGAAGATTTGAGAAATGCATCAAGCAGCAACACGCTTTCCTCCCTGTCACTAATTCCCCTTTCAGGGACTGACTAGCAAGCTCACTCTGGTTCAAGTGAAAGCCACCAGAGAGAGCAGGCCAGTTCCTTACAACAAAGATGATCCCAGAATGGAGTCGCTTTTGGCTCAGGCCAAGGGTGGGTTGGAGTCACTGCACTCATGGGTCACAGCAGAGAAGAGCACCCTCCTTCTGCCACCCAAGAACAGCAGGGCACTTAAGCCCCCAAGGCAGATGCAGTGCACTAGGAAATAGGCTAGTGCAAACCTCAGTTTACTTTACTGCAACACTGGCAGAAGCAGAAGGCAAGAAGAGAAGCCCTGCTATGCAGAACCGGGAGTTCAGCTCATTCTTTCCTTTGCTTCTTTGCCTGCAAGAGGACACTAATGTATGGCATGGCTGGGATTTTGTAAAGCAGGAGTGTCAAACACAAGGCCCACAGGCTGGATCCAACCCACAGAGCCATGCAATCTGCTCCTGGGGCTACTGGACTGGCCTGGGCTTTGCATACTGACCCTGGCACCTCTCATGCTGCAGACTGCACAGGGGATCAGTTTAGGCATGTGCTTCACTGATCCAGCCTGCGTGCTATAGCCAGTGGACGCCCCGCACTGGGCCAGGGGCCCTGTGCACAGTCAGCCCTGGTGCCGGCACATGCTGCATGCTCTGTACCTGGCACAGGGAGCCGGCATGGAGTGCATACCCCAGGTGGCACTGCGCTGGACCCAGAGCCAGTACACAGGGTACTGCATGGAGCACACACCCCACACCCATGTCCTGTGCTGTGCGCAACGTTTGCAGATGGTCCAGTCCCATGCACCACTGTCCACACAGCCCTGGGACTCACGTGGGGTACATGCTGCCTGTGGCATGAGAGCTGGGCCTAGGTTGCATGCAGTGCACTGCCTGCAGTGCTAGGTCCAGCTCACACACCCCGTGAAGGCCCTGGGCTGGTGTGTGGACCATGGGCAGGAGCTGGCAGCGAGGTGGGTCCCACTCCAGCCAGCAGAGAAGTTCAGGGAGGCCCGTGACACTGCAGGCTCACAGCCCCCTGGGCATGCCACACCGCTGCCCCATCCCCTCCTCCCCAGAGCTGCCTGGCCCAGCTGTGCTCACTCAGCCCTGCTCACCCTCCCCAGGGGCCTGGCCTTACCCTGCCGAGAAGGTTGCCCTGAAGGAGGGTCTGCTGCAGTGCGGGAGCCACCTCTTCGAGGTGCAGCATGTGGCACAGGTCGGTGAGCTCCTCCTGCCCCAGGGACCCCGTGCCGGTGCTGTCAAAGCTGTCGAAGAGCTCCTTGAGGCGGGCTTCATACTGGTCTTGCTCGGCTTCATCCATCCCATAGCCTCCCACGCTCACCTGTGGGGGAAGAGAAAGAGAGGAGGTGAGCGGGGGCGCTGGGGGAGGGTGCACACATCAGCATGCCAAGCAGCAGAAGTCAGGTGCCATCACTGGGTGAGAGGAACAGCTCTGCACTGCCCTGACTGCTTCTGCTTCCTCTCGGGGGAAACCCAAGTCATCATCAACTCAACCGATTCCAGAAAAGGCCATTAGCAAAGCCTCTTCTCCGCATAGCCTGCTGCTGCAAGCATGGGTATCTGCACTGAGAGGCGGGGGCTGAAAGGATCTCAGAGACCCTCAGATACTCCAAAGCCAGCCTGGTTAGCCAGGAGCTGGCTGGAGACAGAGACATAAAGAGACCAAGTCAGGACCCCAAGATCCATCTCCTTGGGACGCACTCACAACTCTCAGAGAGACTTAAAGCTCTGGGATCACCCCCAATTCAATTAAAAATAGCCCAACTCAGCCCTTGCTAGAGCCTCATTAACCTCCAACAGCTGGCGAAGCATCTGGCATAAGTCTTATGCTGCCCTCTCTTCCCCGAGCTGTCCAGGAGGAGCCCACCTCTCAGGTGCACCCCGTTTGCAGCCTGGAGGACTTGATCCCAGCGGCCCACCGCCACTCAGGTGTGCCGCAAGGAGGGTGTCATTCAGCTGCGATTCCAAGTGTCGCGTCCCGGCCCTGCTCTGCCAAACAAAGCGCCTGATTCAGCAGAGACCCGGCAGATCGTTACTGCAGGCTGCGCAGGGGAGACAGCCGTGCAAGGCCCTGAATGAGTCAGGTTGATGCAAGGAGCCTCCCTGTTTACATGATAGCACTCGCCGCTTCGCACCGGCTCCTCGCGAGGCAGCTCATTTTGCTTGGCTGGGGAAAAGCAGAGGAGACGAGGCAGGGAAGATTGCTCCCCAGGGCTGCATTTGCTCCCTGGGCACTTTAGGTAATGCCTTGTCTGCATTAGCGAGAAGAAAAACAATGTTCCAGGCAGAACCGGCGCCGACTGTCAATCCACAAAGGACAGCAAGGCTCTTGCATACATTTCTGGAGCCTGTCAGCAGCTCCTATTGCAGGGCTGCCCTTTGCCTCCCGTGCCCTTTGCCCCGGCCTTTGCATTATTTAGGCTGCATGTGCGGATGCGCCGTGAGCATCTCTGGTAGCAGGGCACCAAGCAGCCTTTTATCCAAAGCACTGCATCAGTGCTCTGCCCAGGCTCCCTTGTTTCTAATCCCCTCTCTCTGCTCGTCTACACACGGGTGGGAACAAACAGCACCAGGAAGCACTTGTGCCAGCAGAAACAGGGATATGAAGGATGTCTTTGCAAGAGAAGGAAAGCACCTCCCGCCACCACCCTATCCCCCACCCCAGCTCTCCGCACCCTAGAGAAGGTGACTTGCCTCCTTTTGCTTTGCAAGCAGCTGGAAAGCTGAAGTCCACAACTAAGAGGAAGAAAACAGGCAGCTAGAGCCTAGTACCTCATTAAAACCTCTCCTGTACAAACACTTCTTCTCTAGGGAGCCAGCACTTCCAAGCCTGTCTCTTGTCTCAAGAAACAGACAATCTAGCCAGGCCAAGAACAGCTCCTGGACTGAGTTTGCCCTCAACACCAGAGACCACCCCTCCGATGGCAGACCCCGACACACAGCACCTGGCCACCGTGGGTCAACTTTGCATCGCTGCCTCAAGCCACTAAAAGGAGCACTGTCTTTTCAACAAGAGCCCTGCCACGGCTGTGGATCATTAATGCCAAGGGCTGTGAAGCGGCAAGCCAAGGCTTGTGCAAGATGAGCCCTTCATGAAAGGGCCGCGGAGCTAAACAAAGCTCCCAGCTCTGAAAACCAACCCGGCCGCGTAACACCTTGGCAGCGCAGCATGTGCCGGTGTCCTTTAGAAAAGCAAAGCCCAGGAGTTTTAGTGGCCTCAGTACAACTCCCCGGGGGGTTTTCCCTTCCCTGTAGTCAGGGGGGAGGTTTTTTCTAACCTCAGCTCAGACAGCAGTTATCCAACTGTATTCTTTAATAACTCAAATAACCCCCTTTCCCATCTAATTGGGACAGAAAGCAAATTTCCTGCAGAGGGAATGAAAAACAAACAAACAACCCACTGCCACGGATTTGTGCTCCATTCAACCTGGTGCCAGTGTTTTCATCCCCTCTGGCAGCATTAAAATGATGCCAGCAAGATCCTGCTTTGATGCAGCCTCTGTTATATGGGGCCTCACTAGGTTTCTTCCCATCCTCATGGTGTGGGACCAGTGATGGCTCCTCGCGGCTGCAAGAGCTTCCTGAACTTGGCAGCACAGCATGTGCCCAGCCAGTCTCTCGGGGTAGAACAAGAGCTGTGGCAGGCCTCTTCTTAAAAAAAAGACCATGCTTTTTTTGGTGGCTTGAGGCATCAATGCAAAGTTGACCGGCAATGACCAGGAGCTATGACATAGCTGCGTGTTGGGGTCTGCTTTGCAGGAGGGGGGAGTCTGGTAACGAGGACAGTTTTGTTTGTCATTACCAAATGCCCGAGCACTACTGACATCACCCCTCAAAAGGCATCCTCGAGCGAGCACAGGGAGCTGGGAGCCCGGCCAGCGATGCCATTAGACCCAGTGAGCGTTTCAGCCGCAACAAAGAACCGAGTCCCTCTGACCTTCAGAAATGGGAGGGGAAGGGCCGTGTCCTGGGCACCTCGGTCTTCACTCCCCACTGCCCTAGTGCAGCCGCCTACACCCCTGCATGTTGGGAGATGAGCACACGGCAGGGGGATCAGCTCCCTATGGACCAGATGCAGGGGCCCCTCCATGCCCTGCCCTTGGCATCACCCTCATGGGTCGTTGCAGATCAGGGAGGAGAGGCCAGTGCTGGCAGCCAGGATTGCAATCCATGGCCCGGCAGTCACGGCCAGCAGCATTCCCGAGGCACTGGCTGTGACACTGCTGGAGGCCACCGTGCAGGTGGACAAGTCCCAGTCAGCAGACCTGGCCTGGGAGGCACCATGGGTGGCTACGCACAGCTTCCTTCAGAGACACCGGCATGGGCAGCAACGGATCTCTTTAACGCATCAAGGACAGTCGCAAATGCTTCCTTCCCACCCAAGCATGACGGCAGCAGAAGTCCTCAGCCCTCTCCTCTGCCTACACCCCCGCAGGCAGCTTTGCCTCCATCAGCTGGGGCAGCTGCAGGCAGACAAGGCACTGGAAAGCCCCCGTTTAAAGAGGGGGTGGTTTCCAAAAGCTTCCAAGCATCAGGTTCCAAGACGTGCCCCGATTATTTGCATCACAGCAGGACCCCAAATCAGGGATCGAGGGCCTTTCGCCTGAGTGCTACACACAGACCCACGCTGCAGAGACCGCCCCTGCTCGGAAGAACGAGACAACAGGTGGGTGCAGAGCACGGAGCCGAGCGAGACAAACGTGATTAGCGCAGTAAGCAGCGGTCACAGCACGCCAGCTGTCCAGCATTACAGCCACGAGGTGTGGAGGGGGGTTAAGGGAGGCGCTGACAATGAGCTGCTGCGACCGGGCATGGGAGATGGTGCGCAGGTGCTGGGGAGGTTGTCAGGCTGACGGGCAACGAGGCTGGCTGTCCTGGAAGAGCAGACTCCAAAACCCCTCCTCTCGGTGACCAGACCCGGTGACCTTTCAGATACCCCGTGCAAGACCTGCAGAGAGCTCACTGCAAGGAAAGAGCAGGGTCTCTGCATTTCTCCAGCTCCAGGGGATGCTTGCATATGACTTTTACTTCCACATACACACACACACTTCATGCTTTTGGAAGACCTCAACAGCCAAACAACAAATAGACAAACTGAGCTCATCCGCCTGCAGTCATCAGACCCACCACCATCGGCAGCGAGGCTGGGGTACCTTGCAGCCCCCGCCCCGCTCAACCCAGATGCCATAATCCCGTCTCCTGCACGCAATGCACAGCTGCCTCCTGGCCCCTCTCTGAATTATTCAGCAGGGCTTAAAAGGCTCCTACCTGATGAGCTCACAGCCACCCCGCGGCAGCGAGGCCGAAAAGGAGCGTGCAAGTCATCACCGAGCAGTCACAATAATGAGGTCACGCACATCGGAGCGCTGCGCTAGCACGACGCCGAACGCCAGCAATTTCAAGGGCGGAAGCTGACTCTTCGGGTCAGAGCCGAGAGTTGTGCTCGCCCGGGGTGGGGGTGGGGGGGCGACGGGAGGGAGGGAAGATTGGCAGGGCGGAGAGGGCCTTGCAGGGGGGAACAAAACAAAAATACAAAGCCAGAGTGAAACCCAGGCCTTTCATCTCCCCTCCAGATGGTCCAGCAGCTGAGCTACAAGATGGAATGTCTGGATTGTTTCATTGCTTCCCGTCCTCGTGCATAATAATAGCGGCCGCGTGAGCCGTGCTCAGACACAACCGATAAAGAGTCAGCAAGGCCGGGGACCAGCCTCGAGCTGGGAGAGGCAATCTCCCAGCTGAGCACCAAAAGCAGGAGGGGGCAGTTGGATGGCAAGTCTCTGCTCCTCAGCCCATCACCTGTAGTAACACCATGCAAATCCTCGCACCCCTGCCTGAACAGGCAGGAAAAGGAGGCAAATATTCTGCTTTAAGACAAGGAGGGCAGTTGCTTTTCAGGGCTAAAAACTCCGATGGAGTCACCAAGGACTAAGAAAAGCAGAAGTCCCAGCAAGCACGTGTTGTAACACATTTCAGCAAGCATCAAGGACATTTTGGGGGAGCTTCTTAGAAGACAAGTCGAGGAAGATGCTTGAAATGATGCCCAACGTGGGCTCGGAGGCTTGTAGCTTTTCCTTACGGTAAAGGCTATGGTTAGGAGACGCATCAGCTGCACGGAGAACAAAAGGGATCTCAACTGAGGCAAGTAATTCAGCCTCGTTTCCAAAGTCCAGACCCCCCAGGTTAAAGCTACGCTCTCAAGAGCCTCAGGTAACCTCCATAACGGGTGTTGCAGAGACTTGATAGCACTTCGCAGCTAAATTTAATCCTAATGATATAGGTTCAAAAGAGAGGACTTGGGATCCCGCTTCAGCTTTACGCATTTTGAATCCAGATTAAACTTCAAGCCTGAGCGTACAACTAATGGAGGGGTAGACGACCTGGCCAGCACCATCAAGTCCGAATACTACAATTAGCACAGCACAAATGAACACTGCCCTGGCAAGCCTGTAATTACCGGAGCAATGTTACTACAAGAGGAAAACCAAGCAGGGCGCTTGGCACCCTTTCCAAAGAAACACCACTCACTTGAATTTTCCCTTTGCTGGGCCATATTTAAATCACATCCAGCTGAGGTCTGAGACCCTCTCTCTCAGGTGCCACTACACACCTTAATATTCTGTATACATTTAATTAAAAAAAAGCAAAACACCTGTCCTCAAGGAGTCAACCCTCTTTCAAAAAGCCACCAATGAAGGCGAATGTATGCATTTGCCATTGTTCTTCAATGCTTTCTCAAGCTGAATGATCGGCAATTAGACAATCACAGGTTCCCGTTAGAAAGTTGACTCATAAACCACCATCAAAACAAGCACATTATTGTCGGAGGACAAGTGGTCATTTTGGTAAGCGTCTTCCCTCCGCGAAGAGCAAAGAGCCAGTGTGACACATGAAACCATATCTCCGTGCACGGATTTTGCTACAGGAATAACGTGCACATCACCTGGCCGACCAACCCCGCGCGCTTTTATTTTTTAGTTTTAGCCTGACTTGAGAAGATACACAAATCATCTGCTGAAGTGGCAGGTATTTGAGCTCTTGTCGAAAGCGCTGTGCCGTGTTGTCTTACCTCAAGTCATTATCTCCTTCCATTAATGAACTCTTCTAGCCTATCTCGGCATCACCCCATCAGCATAATTCGCTGCTTACTCCCAACCTATGTGCTACCAACCCAGCTTTTCATTTCGGAGCAATACACAGAACGAGATCACGCCAGCTTCAGCAGCGGGTCCCCTCCAAAGCATCAGACAATACAAAAAAGAAGCAGCGGGCAGAGCAGCCAAAAAAAAAAGAGCAAGACAACGAAGCAAGCAGCACCCAGGAGTCAGGAAATCACCTTCCAACGTACCCCACCCCGCGCCACCAAAACCAGCATTTCCACCTCCCCATGAAGTGCCCCAATCATTAGTGCAGTCCAATGCTGTACCTCTCCTTGTGGCCCTCCGTCGGAGGATTCAACCCGGCCTGTGGTTCACAGAGAAGTCAGGCGGGAAAGGACCTCCAGAGACCACCTAGTGCAACGCCCTGCCTGAAGCAGCATCACCCCCGTCCACACCATCCCATCCCATCCCAACCCAACCCAGCCCCTCACCTGAACTCGACACCTCCCAACACGATCACAAAAGTTGGCCTCGAAAGGCAACTCCACGACCTGGCGCACGCTCTCTGCCCCGGGGCCACACCAGAGACTGGGCAAGACAGGCCTAGGGTCTGCCCCCGCCTCGGGTCCAGAGCGCTGGACTGGACACGCGCGGGCGGCTAGCGGGAGGGCTATTCCCGGCAGCCCGGCATTTGCATCCTAATAGGCTCCTGCCATCAGCAGCCTCCGGGAAGGGGGGGCCGAGCGAAACAATGGGCCCATCTGCTTGGATTTGGGGGAAGCCACCGCCAGCGAGCCGCGGAGGGCCCGGGCCACAAAGCCAGGGGCGGCGGGGCCGGGTCCCAGCCTTGCAGCGCCCGGGGCGGGCGAGCCGGCGGCGCTTTTGTGCAGCTCCCGGAGCCTCCGGGGCAGGGGCAGGGCTGAGCGGCTTCGGGAGCGCCCGGCAACAGCCTCCGCGGACCCGGCGTGGGGAGCGCTGGGAGCAGCACTCACCTCCGCCCCGACGGCAGCTCCGGCCCGCGAAGG